AAGAATTTAATTTTTTTCTATAAATATAGGTAGAAATTTATCAAACCAAGTTAATCTTATGTTGATTTTCTGAAACACTATATATTTGTCAACCAGCATATTTTGATTCATTTGTCTACTATTATTTTTATATTGATAATCAAATGTTTTCAATAATTTGGCCAAGTTATTGTTCATTGAAATTTTTTTTAGAGTAGTTTGACTAGAGAATTTTCACAAACACACATGTTTTGGTGATTTCGAGGTATAAAATTATATATATTTTACTATTTATATTTTTATATACCCATGATATATCATTTGTATATTATGTGCCTGATTTACATATATGATATTACAAGGATCCTATCATTTATTATGTCCTAGTTGTTTTAATTAGCAACAACAACAATCGTAATGAAGACATTGATTCATATTTTTATACTGTCGCATTTTACTAATGATGATTGTTTGACAAGTTATGTTTCTAATATTAATATTAATTTGAGTTCATTATAACAATCAATTGATGAAGACTAACAATGTCGGCATATCTATAAGTTTTTTTTTTAGCTTTGCATGAATACATTAAATTGGCATAGGATATTATTAGCAGTAGATAGGAACAAATATAATGAGACAACCAAAACATGAAGTTGTCTGCATCTATCAAATTGCTTAGTTTAACTACAAACCATTTTAATAGATGGAAGGCTGCAGAACTCAAACAAGGGAAAAAGAAGAATGCAGTAAATGAAACCTGAAACCGGCCACGGTTTATTGACTCGATGTGGGGCTGTGGTTGACTCGACCTGCATCAACCTGTCAAATAATCTCATCTATGAAATATTCTCTTAAGTCAAGAAAGAAAGAAATACAATATCATAGAATCACTTTTCTGATAGGAAAAAAAAAATAAAGTTGGTAGTAAAAGTCGATGACAGTTATCATTTCTATATGAAAGCATACAAAAGCACTCGTCACTATGTTTACTTCACTGCCATAGTAGCCACGAACTGTGCCCAAAAGCAATTCCTACCAACAAATCTATGTGGTCACCGAACAAGTTTTGCACACCAACAGTCATTACAAGCATTACTATTTATTCGCTCATCCAGTTCCTGGTTTTCATCTTCACACTACTCTCGGAAAACATAGCTTCCACACTTGACCTTTTATGAGGTGAATGCTTACGAAAGTTCACTTACAAAAATGCATGCAACTTGGGTATACAACCAAGGTGACCGCAGAGAGCATGTGCGATGCTACTGCTTGTCAAAGAGAATTATAGGAGGATAGAAATTGCAATAGCATGGCAAGGCGAAATCAGATATCAATCAGCACTGACTAAGAAAGGGTGTTGACAGACACCACATTCGATTGTTTGGGAGCCTGAGGCAGGAACTTGCACCTGAAACTCAAGGTAAATATCGTAGAATTCAGTCCTAACAACACATCAGCAAAATTCCAGTTTGGAAAATAGATGAAGAGATAAGAAGAAAGCTTATCCTGTTGCAGAAAAAAAAAATTTCTGATATTATAGACCTGAAGGTGGACTGTGCAGATGGGACATGCTACTTCCCTCATTGGCTTCCAAGACTCATCAGAATTTGAACTTATGAAATAGGTACTATCATAAATTAGTCAATAGTAGTACATGTTATATCAGAAAACATAGTATAATGTTCTACAATTTAGCAGTAAAGTACCCGACTTATGATTCTTGTTCAATTCCTCCAGTTGCAAAAATCAAGACCAAAACCTTAATTATTCATCATAATATCTGGGTTAAAGAAGTTAGATGGATCATTTCCCAACAATGAGAAAAATATGCCCTCCATATAAAGTACCACAGCGAGACATCTGTCTAAACATGATGGTCTATAGCAATAAAAAAGACTGCACCTGAAGCCTTCGTGCAAGATCTTCATGACTTTGCAGACCGGTAGGTTTGCTGACAGCTTCTTTTGCATTGCTTAACCTTTGAGAAACTTCTGCCTATTCAACGTGAGAGACTCCCATGTAACATCAAGCAAATCACTTCTCAAGTCGTGTTTTTCAGTTAATGCTCAGAATATATAACATTCATACTAACAACCAAGCAATTTTAAGTTTCAGTACTTAAATTAGCAGATCAAGCATGTTAGGGCTGTTTCATTTCCACACAGTTTCTATACTATATGTGAAGAAAAACGAAATTTTCTAGCTTTATACAAAATTAAATTTCACATGACAGTGAGATTTACATAGTTCACAAAAGTTAATTCAGTAATTTTCACTATCCCAGGAAATTAGTTCAACAACAACAAAGTACATAATCTGGCCCCATTGACAACACCTTTCTCTAGTGAAAGTTAATCAAAATTGGTGATCACATGTCAGCATTTGGTGACAAGTCAACACTAAGTTCACACATGCAAAGCAACTTGCCAACTCTAATGCTTACATGTAATATGAACTCAGAGGGCCCTAACACAAGACAAGACAGTGAATTTCTCGAGGACAAACTAGTTCAAATTTTTTGTAGAACATCCATGAACAAAGAAAAGAATGTTCAAGTAAGACAATTCAAGCTATAATGTAAGTGTACCACCACTGGCTAATAATAGCCATAATGTAAGAACTAGTTCAGATCTTTTGTAGAACATCCATGAACAAAGAATAGAATATTGATCAACTAAGACAATTTACGCCATAATGTAAGCGGACTACCACTGGCTGATAATAGTGTTTTATCAACCTAAGGTGCAAAATCTAGCTAATGGACTAGCAGCAAATCCTCTGGATGGAAATTCAATAAAGATGTAAAATGAAAAGTAATTCACTCAATTGGCTAAACAAATCATATTTTCTTTAAAAAACACTTTCTTCACCCCTGTAATTAATGATAATACTAAATATATGAGTCTATCACTGCAGATTGTTTCTAGGAGGATCCTTATAAAAAAAAAAATCTCTTTAAAAGACAGTCAATGGTCAGTGGAGGGGTAAAATGTTTTTAGCAAACCTAGCTTCCAGAAAAGAAAAAGATCTCCTTTTAGCAATAATACATCAGATTTTATATGAGGTTGGAACAACAAATGCCTACTGCTAGAAGAAGACCCATTATAAATATAATATCTTAAAAGACTTAAATAACGTTTACCAACATCATCTCGATTTCCAGAATATCAATAGCTGAAACTTTCTCCTGAACCCAAAAGGTTATGCAGACACATAATTTGAACCACTATTTAATATACAATATCAGTGAAGACCAACCTGACATAGTTCAAACTTAAAACTGCATATCTCTACAAGCATCAATTTTCAGGAGTAAGAAATGACATCATCAAAAGCACAAAAACCAATTTGTACAATGATGTTAAAAGTCAAGGATAAACCAGTCAATATACCATGCATCTATCACAAACTCGGACTTGCTGAGCATTTTCTTCTGCAGTGAGAGCAATTCTACCCTTTGTGCACTTGTCGCAGAAAATATCGCCACAATTCCTGCAATGATGCTGAAAGTAAAGAATGGAATTGTCATGCTATATCACAAGGAAAATTGTGACATCAAACAAGGTTGAAAAGAAAACTGATTAGATGAAAATCATCACCCTGTGATTGAAAGCTCCAAAATCTGATCCACATGATGTGCATTTGCTAACAACTTCATCCGGAACCTAAATGTATGGCAATACAGGTATGCTTCAACTACTGCAGATCATAAGAATCGTAATAGCAATTCTGAATCAAGGGAAATACAACAATAACTCAAAAATTAAGATGCCCAGCTGGCCAGTCAATAATATGGATAGTCTCATTCAGTATACATTGCAAGCCAGATTTACTAATAGCTTCTTTGACCAAAACAACCAGCATATATGAATACATAAACAAAATACATCACAAAAAAAAGGGACACTTCAGCCTCTCATATGCAGCAAATAATATAAAATCAACAAAGGGCAATAGAGCCAGCACCAGCTCCAGAAACAAATAAGGTTTTAAGTCACAAAAACAAATGAAAGTATCTCTAGAATAATCATTTTTTCACACCAACAAATATCAAGTTGAAAAAATTCTTTAATAACCAAAGAAAAAGCATCTAAACTTACCCAGTGATCTTTCTCCTCATTAGCAGGTTTAATCAAGTTCATCCAGTCCACCAAACTTTTTTTCCTTTCAGCTGATTGATCAGATACCTTGCTAGCATCAGCAGCTTCTTCGCCTCTGGTTTGGCTACCATTTCCACCCATCTCCTTACGCTACAATTTTTTGTCACATTAATTAATTTGTAAACAAAAAACATATTTGCACAAATGACATTGAAATACATAAAAAGATACTATGGAAACATGTAAAGATTACAGCCAAAAAAAAACAAAATAGCTATGAAGTTTGAGTGACATATTGAGAGAAAATTTATTTAC